TTTGATTACCGGCTTGTACGTTTTCTGATGCTCTTGTTGTTACGTCCAGTCCATCCGAGTGCTGATGGCACTCCTGCTACACAGTCGAAGTTCACTGGGTCTGCCTGAGACTCACAGCTCGGGTTAGCTAGGCAAGCACCAGGTCCCTTGTTACGGCTGAACGGCTGTATATAAAAAGGTTCACGATGACATTTAAAATAAAATCCCATAGGGGGAAACAAGCGGTTTTTTGATAGTTACTCAATTGCTCGTTTACATTAATATGGGTAGAGCTACTGTGGAGTGGGGTACTTAGACTGTACAACAAGATAACTATCAAAGAAAATAAACGAACCCTACTTTCGTTGGTTGTCACATGGAGAAACGACGACAGTGAAATTTGCCACATGTCTACACCTGCTCGAAAGTAATCCCCGGTTAGGGGTAATTCGGATTTATTGTATCTGTTTGGCGAAATCAGTACTCTGTATCGAACTGTGTATGGCTGAAAGAATTGCGATTAGGCGGCTTAACCGCCCCCCCCCCACACACACACATACACACGCTCCCCCCGGACGCGTTCCTTCATCCATGAATGATCTCTACCATGACTGGTTACTAAGCGACAAAATCATCCGAACCTGGCATCTGGAACAACGTCGTAATCAAGGTGCGGCTCAATCGAAACAACGACGCACGTCGGATCGTTTTGTACACTGTGCAATGAGATCCACCTTGCACTGGGTCAAACGAAATTAAATGCTCTACCTATAAAAATGTCACTGACTAGTTGATAAATTGATCGAAAAAACAGCTAGTTTCGCATATCCCATTTTATGTTCACTATAAACGCGTCATAGAAAGCAAACCGGAATAAAATGGCGATTTGAGATATGTTTTTCCAGTTCCACACGCGGACTAGTCACGTTGTGTACAAATGTCCTCGTGAAAACGATTGAAAAAAATTTAGACTGGCATTGTTGTCACCGATTCAAATCATGAATGAACATACCTGGATCAGATGAACGGATTTTCATTTGTGGGTTCTTTCGTAACAACCAACCAGGAAGTCCACCCTGGAGAAGAAAATTTGAGGAGCAGAAGGGATGAAGCAACTTGAATAGCGGAAGCTCGTTGCACTGAAGCACCGCAGTGAGTTGTATAGGATGGGGTTACATTGCGAACGTTACTGTACTGACAACAATCCTGTCATATTTATAGTGAAGAACAGCGGCATACAGTCAATCAGATGCTTACTGCTAGAGAATGAAACCGTTGTAACTGTCTGCGCCTATAACATCTGCTCTCGGGAATTCAGTCACACAATGTCTCACAACCTGGTGCACAAAAACCACTCACATAGTCCCATTCTGCACAGATGTATGGGCCAGCACGGAGAATCACCAACAAGTCCTTTGCGGCAGCCATTTCCAGAAATCGTTCCAAATTTGCATTGCCTTCGAAGTTGTACACACCTTCTTCGGGTTCGT